ACCGTTTTACTGTTTTTGCGTTCACCTTTAATAGAGCAAGCATGAAGTTTCAGAATGCAGCTGAAATATTTCTTTTCCCGTGGAGACAACTTCATCTCCCCTCACCTTGCTGTGTTATCCACATTATTCTCACCTTAAATCCAAAACACAGCACTGTGCCAGCTGCTCACATGAAAATTAACAATCACAGCCAAAACCAGGACGTGACCTTACCTTGTGTTGGCCTTTCCTTCTGCTGAATATCATTGCTAATCACTTATTAATTTCCATTTAGGGCTATTCCTGAATTTGTTAATTCCATAAAGCAGCTGCTGAACTATTTTCATTAAAAATATGATTTTATTCTTCTAAGATAGAATTCATACTGCTCTCATGAATAGATCTGGGATTATTTACTTGAAAAATGTCTGCTTGCTATATGAAGAATGGGAAAGAGATACTAGAGTGCCCACAGTCAGATGCTAGGCATTGCAGTGGTAGTCCTTACCTTGGCACAGTTTCATACTCTCTTGTCAAATTTGGTCAGAAAAACGGAGTGCATCTGGTTACAATACCACTGCCCATTGTTTTCCTTCCAAGCTACCATCAAGCATTGGTTTTAAAGCCCATATATGAAGTGTCTCTGCCTGTATTGCTAAGATAGTGATGTCTGAAGGCATCACCATTTGTGTGTTTCTGCATGAACAGACACCCTACTTCATGGCCACAGCTAGCAGGTTTGGGTTATTTTTCCCCTGAAAGGGCTGTTGGGAATGAAGCTTCAGTACACTGCCAGACAGTTCCTCAGTGTTAGGCACATCTCATTCTTGTAGATGAGGAAGAAAACCCAACGTTCAGCAGCGTCAGTGCCACCAGATGTCACTCTTGGATTGCAAGAGAAAGCTGTATGAGCAATCTCCCATTCTGTCTGTGAAACTGCTTTTCCCCCTCATTGCTGTGATGCTGCCTTGATGTGATCTTCTAGTGTCCTGGTACAGTGTTTGCTTCAACTGCGAGTGTTGGGGGAAGAAACAGGGATGACCCCCTGTGGCTGAGTGTGCAACGTGTAACTGCACAGCATCACTGAGTTTTAGTACTGATTACAGGGATGGATTTTTCAAATAATTCCACAGTGTGTAACAGAATTACCAGGACTTACAAAGCATCTGTAATATCAATTTATTTGTCTGATTATCTTTATAAACTAGCAATTGTATTTCCACAGTTATTTTGACGTGCTGGCAACATTTAGTTCTTATATTTGAGTACGTAGCACCTTTTGAAAGTAGAAGTGATGCCACCCTCATCCTTCCTCATGGCACACACTGAGGACTGGACCTTGGGTTTCTTGCCTTGGGTTTTGTCACCAAAGGTTAGTAAATGAGTCAGTGACAGTCTGTAATCTGGAAGGCTATTGAAAAATTGCCCGGTGTCCTGTTATGTCCTATAGCAGAAGGAGAGCCCTTAACAGTTCTCAGCGTGAGAGGTCTGGATTCTGCAGCCCTGTTGTAGAGGAGCAAGCATTTGCTGGACTTAGGCTGACTGGAAGAATGTCTTTTTCCTGACTGATGATTGATTTATTATAATTATTTTTAATAAATTAATAATTATAATATAAATATAATTAATAATTTTTAATAAATTAATAAACACTAAAGATCTTTCTAGGTTGTGAAGAAATGTTATATTTTTACCAGGTTACTTGTGAGTTGCTCTGAATAGCCTTAAGCACTGCTTAGCAATGGACATTACATGTTGTTGAATAATATCAAAGCTTGCATGAGTGTTTCTGACATACACGAGTGCATCCATGTGTGGTTTTTTTCAGTATATGATAAGAAAGTTGCATCAATGCTCTAAAAACCAGACTGTAGCTATTAAGCATATGCTACAGCTCAAAGTTTCCATTAATTTAATGTGACATGAATTGCTGGAGAATATACTGTATTAGCAGGAGGTTCCCTCTTCTAAGCAGAAAACAGGATTTGGGATCTCATGTTTTGTATCATTTCCTTGTCTTGACACCATCTTAAAAAATACTGAAGTGCTTTTTGCTGAAGTTTCTCTTGGTTTCCTCTCCAAATAACTTCACAAACTGTTAGGTTCTAAATTAATAACATGGTCCTCGTGGTGCCAAAATATAATGAGAGAAAGACATTCGCTCTCCAGGCTGTTTCCTCCCTGGAGTGCAGTGCATCTTGTGCAGGCTCCTGAAAGGAAGTCCATCCTCAGAACTTGGTGTACTGGATCAGGACCCGTGCAGGTGCTCTGAATCAAGCCTTGAGCCTTTGATACAGAAAAGTGTCCACTCCCCTGTCACGCATGTGGCAGACCCACTTTATCTGCAGGAAAAGACATCAGGGTTGTATCTGTGTTCCTAAAGGAGGGTAATGCTGCAGAATGCTTGGGTTTGCTGGCCTAATGTGCTAAATGTGTCTATTAGCCAGTAATTAATAGGGAAGCAGTAGGGACTTCTGCTTGCTCTTGGCAATATGTGATCACATCACTGGCTTGTTATTAGCCAGTACTGTGTATTATTATTTACTAATGCAACTGCCCCACTGGATGCATTGAGCTAGTAGATATACCACATACTGAAAAGAACACCTGCTAGAGCTTAAAACTGTGCCTTAGTTTTGCTGTGTGGGATGATTTTGTGGTCCTTTGTTCATAGCACTGTGGTTGAGTCTTTCAGGTCTCAAAGGTAGCACAGACTAGTTCTATTTCTTCACCGTGCATTTGGTAGCCAGAACGTTTTCTTCTGTCCCGCTCTGTAAGTTGTGACTATCACTTTCCAAAATGCTTGCATTGAGCGTGTCATTATTTAGAGTGCTGTTTGAATGACACCTGTTGTTAAGTGCATTGTTGGGTCAAGGCAGTCAGTGAATTCATGCACGCAGACTTAACCCTGTCTTCCACCAAAGCAATTAAACTCCAGAAATGCACAGCTGTGGCATCAGTCAGCAACGTCAAAATTTGCTTCCATAGCAGTGGATAAACTGATCTTTTCTCTCATGACTTACTTGTGTGCTCTTTTTTTTTTATCTTGGTGGAGTCTGAGAGCTGGATACTTGTCAGATGCTATAACATGAAGTATTTGACTTGGGGAGAATGACACATTGACACTTTTCATAGTAATTGCTTCTTACACTGGAAACCTCCAGCTGTTTTGGTGGAAATAACATGATGTGACTGTGACAATAACACAGTCTCAAAGCCCACAGACTGAAAACAGAAACTTACAGATCCAATTTTAGTTGAAAAGCAGGGGCTTTAACCTTTATTAAGCTGATCATAAAGATGGCTAGATATGGAAACCAAAGGAATCTCAAGAAAATTCTTCCAGTGGCTTACACGTGCATTGGATGACTTTATGAATAAAGATTGTTGTAGTTTCTGAAGCAGTAAATATCAGAAATGCCCTGCAAAGTGGAGTAGGTTTATATCATCTCTTTACTTCGGGAATCCAAATTGCAGGATCCTGTATCCCAAGATCACCTCATCCTATGGCAGCAACAGAGTTCTCGGGTGCTCTTTCCCTTTGAGGAGAGCGTATGACCAGCCCCAGGTTGAATGGAAAGTCATCTGAATGTTAGTGTGTGGGGAGACAGCTCTGGGGTGGATCTCCCTTTCATGCATTTCCTATAAGCAAAATCATTGGTGTAAATAACAGTCATTAAAGTTAGATCTGCATGGGGAATAATTACGTGAAATATTAAAGACTGGACAGTAAGAGTGCTTCTAATGAGACTATAACTACTCTGTGAAAGGCAGAATATGGTAGCTGTATTTCATTATCTGTTTCTTTGGGATTAGTGCTTCTATCCCCCCACAATAAAAACAGGATGAACGCATGTCTGCTAAATCTTTAATGTCTCTAATGGCCTCTTGATCATTTGCATTTCAGATCCTTCTTCGTACACAGCAGTGGTCTTGGAACATGCAACTGATTGAAGCTGAAGGTGCTGCCTATTATTATTATCAAACCTTCCCCCCTTACACCACCCATTCAGTTGTAGGATGCAACAGAGAAGGCTGTTGTGATAATTCTGGAGATTCACTGCTGAGAACTCAGCATCAAGAGGATAGCAGCTCTGTTTAATTGCGTTCTAAAGGGAATATGTATTTATGCATCTTTCTTTTTGATGACAGGAATTCAGAAAAAATCATTAAAAATAATTGTTGAAGACTGTAGAAAGGCCATTAGACATGACCTGTAGTCATTGTCCATGGCGCTCAATGATCACAGAAGTGCCACTGTGTAACTGGATGAAGAACTGGATTAAAATCGTTTGATTTTCATGCGTCTCATAGGTGGTGGCAGAGACACTGATGGAGCAGCTGCTGAAAATAACAGCTCATGGGACTGAAGGATATTATTAAGCCATAATCCACCTACAAGTCAGCTGGTTAGAAATGCAAGGTGCAGGGACTTGAGTAGAATCCAAACTTTGTCAATATGGCCCTTAGAGGAATCTCCTCATAAAACACGTTACTTTCTCAACCTGCATCATACTGAGATTCTATGACACTGTGAATCCAAGAACAGTTTTCTTATTTGTTGTCGAGGTTACTTTAGTAAGTGTCTGTGTTTGTGCAGAATATCCTAGTCTGGATTAAATCCTATGACATGGCTTTGAAGAAGACCTGGAAGGTAGTTAACTACTGTAACTGGTTTATTTGAATTTCTGCCAGCAATCAGAGCATATGTTCTCCTTGCATTTTTCATTGGTAGCTACTGAAAAGTTTATTTTCTTTTAGTTAACTTTAAATCTAGTTACTTATGGGCCATATTGTGGAAAGCTAATAAAACTCTGGGCTATAATGATGTGGAGGAAGTGTTAGGTCAGGGCTTGAACTGGTGATTGAGCACCTGGTGAAGGGCTGTGGCTGCCCAGGGAGCACAGGCAAATTGTTTGCAGCTGTGCTCCCTACCAGACCAGAAGAGGTGGACCCAGGGTAGAGCTCCTATAAGGGCAGCCAGAGCATCCCTTGGACTGAAGGTGCTTCCAGGGAGGGGATGTTGTGTGGCCAGAGAACCTCTTCACCAGTTGGGTGAGTTTGGCTTTTTCTTTCTGTGTGGGACTGTTGTGTCACACACTACTTGTGAATTCTCTATCTGGTATTGCCAAGAACCTGTCAAAAGCAATTTTGCTTCTTCATATAACAGAACAGATGACCCTTTTTGTTAAGGCAGGGGAAGTGGTTGTAAGGTATTTATGGAATATGGCTATTTTGTATCTTGAAGACTTTATCTTGCTTTGGGGATACCAAGCGGAGAATGTGTTTGCTAATTTTTCTCCTAGGACAGCAGTTTCTCTCTTTCTGGGCCATGCCAGATTCTGCCAGGTGCATCTTGGGAATCCTTTCATGTTATTTCTGCTTTTTCATGCTTTTGTGAGACTCACTGAGAATGGATCTGGTTCATATCTAACGTGAATCCTCTGCTTTTACTGGATGTTGGAACTAGAAAATCTTTCTGCTTGACTATGTAGAACCTGTGACTGGATACCAGGATTCAGAGTTGGCTGGTTGCAGTTCAAAGATTAAACTGGTCTTCTATCATCTTCTTTAAGCAGAAAGAAAAGAGGAAGTTAATACTTCCCTGCCGTGTTGACATAATTTTTTTTTACTGTCACAGTTGTTCAAACTTTGCTGTAACTTTCTATGTTTAGATAGTGCATGCTGAAGTGTAGTGCTGTGGTCACTCTAAAACTTGTTTAGTTCCCCTTGTCTCAAGGAAAGGTATCTGTTATTGACTTCACCAATTTCACTGTCACTTCCAGTATCACAAATAGCTGCTCAAAGCCACTGCAGAGAGGTTATTCAAGTTATTCCTGCCTGTAGTGGCTCCAGGTGGTTGCTAAGCTTGCCAGCCAAGTTTGTAGTGCGTATGTCCTCATCTGCTGTGGAGGAGGACCAGGTGTCAGCGTTGCTTTGCAGCCTGCAGGCTTCATTTCAGTGCCAGTCACAGGAAGGTGATATGCCTGTTGGAGCCTGGCAAGGATAGATCAGATGCCCTCAAGTGTCTCTGTTTTTCATCCTTAAAAGATTTGGGGTTTTCTGTGTGATTGCTTATCTGCCTGGGGAGTTAACTCTACCGTGGGATGGAAATGAGTGTTGGCATCCATGTTGTTCAAGGCTATGAAGTGATCTGAACAGCTGTATTAATACATTGGACTCGGTTGTCTTGCTGGATCTGTGTGTCACAGGTAGAAATGCATGGTTGAAAGGGTCCAGCTAATATGTGACCTAGATAATGAGGGAAACACTTCAGCAGGAATGCTGCAGTCATTGAGCACCTGGTGAGATGCAGCTCTGTTTCCCTCACTGTAACTTAGTCTGGGGGCTTTTCTGTAGAGTTAGGTGTCTCAATAACACTCCAGCATGGCTTTTCCAATTAGGAGATCTGTTCTGGCCTATTGGGCAACTGTTTTGGCAAGTATTGTACCTCAACTGGATGTCTGCGATTTATTTTCCTTGTAGTTGTGCTTGCTTGGCTGTTAAGTACCTAAATGCAGATACTGAGCTGCTTAAACAGTAGCTTTGTGACACCTTGTGTTCAGCATGCTTCCTATTTGTATATAGGTACAACAGGGTTGGTCAGCACTTGTCTTCATCTCTGAAGTGTGGATGTAAACACCCATGCAAAGGAAAAAAAATCATTGCTTACAACATTACATCCTAGGCAAAATAAGGTAGGAAACAAATCTGGAAAATACCAAAGGAGACCATCTTCCATCTGTTTTTCTCTTCTGCCACTAGGTATTGTTGTTTTGAATTGCATGTAGGGTTTTATATCCTAGGTATAATTAAACAGACTGCTTCCCTGTAAGATACTTACTGCAGTTTGTCACCCTGTGCAGCACTGCAGTGATTTCTGTACTTCAGTTATACAGGCACCTGCTGAGTTGTTGGAGCACAAACAGCCTGCCAGGTGGCTGCCCAGTGTCTGATTACAAAAGAGTAGCATGGGTTTTGTCATATGTGTATGAAAACATAAATCAGGCAGGAGATGATGAAGAAATGTTCTTTGCCTGAGTTGGGCACAGAAATAGGAAGAAGCATTAGTGACTAGGCTGGGACTTTCCCACAAACATTTCTGCGTGTGTCCTCCTCGGGATGTATGGCACATCCTTCTGTTGAGCTTCTTGCAGCAATAGTGGAATAAGACCTGTCCCTCGTGACCTGAAACGGACAGACGTGAATTACTGTATCTCCCATGTCTGTTCAGCTAGTGCTGCTAAGGATTGGTTCAAGTAGAAATTTCATTTTTTCACTGCTGCAGATGTTAGAAGGAGGTCTTTTTTTTGCCAAAAGTTTGTTGCTAAGAAGAGAGGAAATAGCTGCTAAGTGTTCTGATGCATGTTCTTCAAAAGGTCACTTCCTCCTACGTGTGTAAGAGGAATAACAGCATGGTATACTAAAACCTCATGTATGTGTTGTAATTCAGAGGGGTGAAATCAAGTGCAAGTGAGCAAGCACTGTGCTGGTCAAAGAGTCCAAGTGGAGGAGAAGTATGGTACATGGTCTTGAGCTGCACTTCTGCCTGCCAAAGGTGCTCTGGGAGACTCTGAGCAAGCACTGCTGGAGGGTTCTCTTGCAGCTTCCTAGCTCTTGTTTTGTTGTTCAGGTAGTAAATATTCAGAGCATGTTCTGTCTCGAGATATGTAGAGCAACTAGCGCGTAGGGTCTTGCTCTCTGGGCACTGTGGCAACATGAATAATAATCCTTAGCCAAGGAAGCAAGGCTTTTTCCCATTGCAGCATAACAGCACTTTAAATTCCTGCACTGTCCTTGGTTAGATGGATGCTGACACAGCAACATGAGGGGACGCTGTGGATGTTTTTACGTATGCTATGGGTTTGTGACTGTACTTCCGCAGCCATGTAAATCAGAAATAACTGCTGAAAACAATGTTTTAGGTACTGCCATATAACTGTGGGAGAGAAGAATGGCTTTATTTTGAAAAATGAGAGCAGCAGCTTGCTTAATGTTTCTTTCCTTGCATTAAAGAAAACAGAATGTGTTGATGATGTTTCCTAATGGGCTTTAAAGGCTCAGCCCTTAAAATAAGCAGGTTCATGAATAAAAGAATTGTTCCTGGCAAGGAAGAACTGCCAAAAATATATTCTTAATTTATAGCACTGAAAAAGAAATACTCATGTAATAAATGAGTTAGTTTTGCCATTCGATTATGCAGCTAACATTACAGCTATTACAATCTTAAAGTTGCTTCCAGTTTCAATCCTGTTTCCTTCCTGCATTATATAAATACTGTAAAGTAGTTTCTGGTTTAAAATGGATGTGTAGTGGGGAAGGAAAACTTCCCTTTGCTGTATATCATTGCATAATACAGTTGCTGACCAAAATATCAGCCACCAGCACACTGACCTATCATCCTGGCTGTCTGTTCTTATGAGATGATGTGGGTGATGACAGTGAGAGAAGGCTGTTTTTTGTTGACCGATGCCCTTGCAACATGTTTCAAATGCATTTTTACGGTGTTCTGTTATAAAATCAGAGCATTACTTTGTGGTGTTTCCTCAATCTAGTGACTCATTTCTTCTGTATGTTTAAAGGTTTGTCATCTCTTGATATGGGCAAGCAAGGTGTTGAGGCTGTTTCTGAGTTCAGAATGCTCTGCTGTGGACCTGGAGCAGTCAGCATCAGCTCCTGGATGCCCAAGGGAGTGAGCAATGGAGTCTGCACTGATTGTGAAAATCAGATGAATGGGGGATTTGGATCAGCAGATTTCATGGTGGTTATATAAAGCTGTGGCAGAGGAGACAAGACTCAGCTGGGCATTCCCTGGGCTTGTTTTAAAATTCTCAGATTGGGTGCTTTTTGTCAATGTTTTAAGGAAGCATTATTTAGTAGGAGGAGCTGATTACCCCCCCAGCATTTACTATTTTGTAGTTCTAGATGCATGTGAAGAGATTATATTTATCTCCACTTATCAGCTGTGGAAATAGTCAGGGAAGGGGAAGCTGCTGGCCTCCCTGAGGTGTCACAGCATGTTCAAAGGCAGAATTAAGACAGTCTGTGTTCCCAGGTAGTGCTTTATCCATAGGGCAGCTCATACTTCATCAGGCTGAACAAAGTGATGCTTAATATTGTTGTCCAAGGTTCAGTGTATTCTTACTACAGAGTAAATAACATCGTCTCAGTTGAGAGCACTGACTGAGGGTGCTGGAAACTAAAGCAATTTAAGATCAACTTTTTTTTTTTTCTCCCAGGAAATAATGTGTTGCAGGTCTCTCAGAGCATGCTAGTTCTGTGAAATAAAATAGAATTGAAGTTGGTACTTAGGACGTTAGGCTTTGGTCTTTTAGGTCTGTGGAGAATCACAGGAGAGGCAGTCCCCAAAATCTCCGTGGTGCTGCTGCTGGGTTGCAGGCTGAGTTCAGGTATATAAGCCTAAAAGTGGCTTATAAGGCCTATATAAGCCTCAAAGTCAGCACTGCTGTGCTGTGAGCATTTATTTTCATCCAGGAGTTGCCACAAGGCCCTAGAGCTCTGCCAACATTTGGTGCTGTGTGAGAACTGCCTCCTGGCCCTGTTTCGTGAGTCCTCTGCTAAGCTGCTTGCAGCCTTTGTGTCTCCAAGGGATGCATGTTATGGGGTATGTCTTAAGCGTGTTAATGCATGCTTCATCAGTGTGAAGTCAGCTCAAAGCCATGGTGGGGACAAAAGTGAGGAATGGAAAGGTAGCCATGTTGTTTTGTGTGAGGCTCTGCATTTAGGGTGGTTTCCTTCATATGGAAAACTCAAAATTCATTTTCTCTACTCACCTGCATCCTCATTCAAATCTGCAGCATCTTTTGCCCGGCGCTGGTAGCAACTGTAGGGCTCAGAGTGGTGACTGGTGGGAAGTGTGGGATTGAATCTCCCTCAAGCAAAGGAGGAAACCTGCCTGGACACCTACCTGTGCGACCTGGTGCAGGGAACCTGCTTTGGCAGGGGGGTTGGGCTTGATCTGTGGAGGTCCCTTCCAACCCCTACAATTCTGTGATTCTGTGCAACTGAAATTAGACATCCTGTATCCTGGCCAC